CATCACTGGTCATCAGAGAAATGCATATCAAAACGACATTGAGATACCATCTCACGCCAGTTAGAATGGCAATCATTAAAAAATCTGGAGACAACAGATGCTGGAGAGGATGTGGAGAAATAGGAACACTTTTACGCTGTTGGTGGGAGTATAAATTAGTTCAACCATTGTAGAAGACAGTGTGGCTACTCCTCAAGGATCTAGAAATAGAAATTCCATTTGACCCAGCAATCCCATTACTCGGTATATACCCAAATGATTATAAATCATTCTATTATAAAGACACATGAACATGTATGTTCACTGTGGCACTGTTTACTATAGCAAAAGACCTGGAACCAACCCAAATGCCCATCGATGATAGATTGGACAAGGAAAATGTGGCACATATACACCATGGAATACTATGCAGCCATGAAAAACAATGAGTTCATGTCCTTTGTAGGGGCATGGATAAATGTGGAAATCATTCTCAGCAAACCTACACGAGAACAGAAAATCAAACACCGCATGTTCTCACTCATAGGCAGGTGTTGAACAATGAGAACACATGGACACAGGGAGGGGATCATCACACAGTAGGGTCTGTTGGGGGGAAATAGGGGTGGGACAGCGGGGGGCAGATAAGGAGGTTGGGGAGTGATAACATGGGGAGAAATGCCAGATACAGGTGACGGGGAATGGAGGCAGCAAATCACATTGCCATGTATGTACCTATGTAACAGTCCTGCATGCTCTGCACATGTACCCTAGAACCTAAAGTGTAATAAAAAAATTTTTTTTTAATTCACACTTCTTTGAAACAAGTGAATTGGCACTTTCTTAGTTCTAGAGTACTGTGAGCTTTCTCCATTGTTGAAATAAATTGGCCACCAGAGATTGAGACTACGAAAAAAAAAAGTCTTCTATTGACCAGATCCATGTACCTGTCATTTTTATCATCCCACCACAGTATTAAAAGGGCTAATATTATGTAAGTTTCACTGACATTCCCCTCTTTGACAACATTTATTTCCTGGGTTTTTTTGTTGTTTGGTTTCCTTGGGCATTATTACTTTGAAAATATTCCTAAAAGTAGAATTATACAGGTCAAAAAGATGAATCATGTTATACATTTATTTTATACATGTTATACATTTATTTATTAACAACATGATGAATCATGTTGTTACATTTATTGACCAATTGTTTTCCAGGAGAAAAAATAACCCATTCAAAAAGCTACCAATAATGTCCAAATATCACTGTCCCAATCTTTACACCACTCTCACTGACACATAATTATATCACATTTGTCATTCTTTTGACTGGCCTAACAGGTCTATCTAGTTCCTACAGGTTGTTTGAATATGAATTTTAATTGCTGATAAGGCTGAATATTATTCCTTGTGATGCCTCACTCTTTTTCTCTAAATACATAAAAACCACTTATTGAGATGCAATAAGCAATGATCCCATGTACACATAGATGCTTTCCACATTTTTAAACATTGATTTATTTCTATTTATAGACACAACACATGTATGTTACAGAAAGTCTGAGATATAAAGAAAAGCATAAGAAATAATATAAAAACCACCCATAATCCCAACACACTTTCTCCTTTAAATAGTGTGTGTTATAAAAAGTTAATTTCCTTTCTTCATCTCCCCATTCATCTCAATTCCCCACTAAAAGTAATCACTGTTAAGCATTTGTTATATGTATATTGTTCCAGGATTTTCCTATGGCTCTTTTTATAAAAATAGAATCATACTAATCGTCGTCTTCTGCAAAAGGCTCTTTTTCCTTAATACTCTATCACAGACATCTTTTCAAGATATATAGACCTGCCTCATTCTTCTGATAGGCAGATGGTATTCTATTCTGTGTCTGTACAGTAAGTTATGAAACTGGGTCAAAGTGAGGCAAAAGGGTCCCAGCTGATACCTGAGGTATATATATTACATTTGTTTCTTGTTTTCAGTTACGGTCTCATAGGTACCTGCCACCAGTTCCCTTGCCCCCTTGATCTTTCACTGCAATCACCCAACCTCTCCTCAGCCTTGCCTCACTCATCAACCCTCATCTCTAGCTTTGGTGGACTGCTGAGGGCTGTCAGAGAAACCTTTCAGCCTTGCTGACTGGCTCCATTTCACAGGAGGGTTTCCAACCTCACCTGGGCTACCTAACTGTTTACCATTGCTTTTTCTCATTCTCCAGTTCCTTGCTCTCTTCTTCAATCCCAATTCTACCCTCTCACTCTGACCATATGGAGTGGTCACTAATTTACAGGGTAAGTAGAGAACATTCAAGCCTGGTCTCTCCCACCTTCTCTTCATCTCTCAGCCTGCCTCTCTTGGCCACCCTTCCTTTCTTTCAACCTGAGTCAGGGAAAGGGTACCTTGATTCTTCTCCAAGGCTTACCCCTCCCTCCGTCTTCAACTTTCCCCTTCCCCCCTTATCCTAGAAACAAGCTTATGTAAATGCCATATTAATAATGTTAATAGTAAAAACGGTATCACATTTTATTTAACAACAAAAGAAAAATCATGAAAAGAAAAGCAAGTCCCAGAAAGGCAGTACTAGCATAGTTGTTAAACACGAGCCATTTGAATCCTATCTTTTCCACTTACTAGCTGTATAACTTTAAGGAATTAGGCAACCTCTCTTTTGCTCCATTTCTTCATCTATAAAATGAGGAGTGTGGTATTTACCTCACAGAGCAGTTGTGATGGTTAAATAATTTAGTATCTGTAAAATACTTGGGAAAGTACCTGGCTCATAGTTGGTATTCAATAATTGCTCTTATCTACTCATGTATTTTTCTTTTCCACTTGGATAACAACCAATTCTTGACATTTATCATATCCCTTTAAGTGTAGCCAAACTTCAGAAGGCACTGGAATGATACAAGATTTCTTAAAGGACCCAGGTTTTGAGTCAAAAATTAAATAATGGTAGAGACGTGGTAGAAAAGAACAGATGCACGTTCAAGGTATGTGATAAATGGCCAGTGTCTTAGTGTCTGTGTGGACTGCTATAACAAAATAATGGTATTTTGGGTGGTTTATACACAAGAAAAATTTATTTCTCACAGTTCTAGAAGCTGGGAAATCCAAGATCGAAGAGCTGGCAGGTTTGGTGACTAGAAAGGGCCCATTTCCTTATTGATAGGGGTAACATGTCCTCACCTGGTAAAAGGGGCAAATGAGCTCCCTTGGATCTGTTTTATACGGGCACTAATTTCACTCAGGAGGGCTTCACTGACATGACCTCATCACTTCCCCAAAAGCCTCACCTCCTAATGCTATCACCTTGGGATTAGGATTTCAACAGGGATTCTGTGGGGACACAAACATCAAGACCACAGCAGTCAGAAATCAGGAGAATGGATCATGGGGAGCGGCAGGTCTAGTCTGCCTTGGATTGGCAGATATGGGGTGAGAGGAAGTACCAACAGTTTTCAAAACCAATCAAACCACAAACATTTCATTTATCACATCGAATTTGCAACGTACCATCGTTACCACAACAATGACTGCCACAAGCCCCCATACACTCATTCCCACTTCCACTTCACCCCATCAACGAATCAGGAAAATCCCTCTGAAAATAGAAACAGAGGTCTCCCTGAAATATAACACCCATGAGATTTCCCATGCAAAGCAAATAGAAATGAGCTATAAAAGAAGCACCATGTATTAGTTCCCTCTAGATCTGCTGCCTAACTCAGTAGGTGGCCCTGATCTCCGTCAGGCTCTGTGTCAGTGCTGCTATCTGTGGCCTGCAGGTGGTAAGGGCAGTTCAACTGGGCTTGATCACCGGGTGTGAAGGTGGGATTGTTGCACACTCTCAGGGGCTCTTGAAAGGGATCACATTTTAAAATCACTCACCTGATGCTTACTCCACAAAGAAGTATATTAAGTGGAATAATGAGAGAAGGGAGTGACTGGAGACAAGAAATCCTATAAAAACCAGGTTATAAGTGGCTAAGGCATGAGGTGACAACACTGAGAGAAGGGTGATAAAAGCAGGGACAAAAAAAGGTTTTGAGTCATAAGAAACTCAGGAGGATATGGCAACAAATTAGTCATATTGGTTAAAACTCAAAGAGGCTTGAAGATCATCATCATCATCACCCAAGATGACAGAGTTTAGTAGGAGATCAAAGGAGTCACTGCAGGTAATTACTGCAAGACCACAGTCACAAGCTCAGCCTTGACGTCGTTAATTTTAGGTAAAATCCAGCTGAAAACATGCAATGGGTAGCTGGAAAATCATAATATTATAGAGCATTTCTAATAGGTTCAGAGTATCAATCAGCTCACAATTTAGTTCCTTTAAGAGTTTTCACTCATCAGTAATGACATGTCTTGATGTTAAGCAAGAAAAACATGAAGTAGGCTAAGAAAGATTTGGAATGCATTAAAACTAATTAATTATTAATAACATGTTAGTGATTATGAACAAAAAGTGGGAGAATTTAATCCTGTAAGTTCAAAACATAAGGATGATTTTAGGGAGAAATACGAAATCTTTCCACAAAAAGTGAATATTTGTACCACTGTCAGAATATTAGGATTATGGATTATTATTCTGCCTTCAGATAGTATCTTATACACTATCTGAAGTCAGACTATGTTTTATATGTTATTTAACGTTTTATATGATATAAATTGCTTAAGAATAATATCAAAGTCCTATGAATTATATTTTTAGCTTTTATTTACATTGTTAGTGACAAATTCACATGGCTGATTTAACACGTGAGAACAGTCATAAAACAATCAAAAGAGACTGAAACCTTTTTTGGTACAATTGTTGGTTACAATTAAACTTTAAATAAGAGAGATGGTCAGGTGTGGTGGCTCACATCCATAATCCTGGCGCTTTGGGAGGCTGAGGCAAGCAGGTCACTTGAGCCCAGGAGTTCGAGACCAGCCTAAACAACATAGTGAGACCCAGCCTCTATTTTTTCTTAAAAAATTAGTTTAAAAAAAAAAACAGAAAGACTTACCACATTTTCCTTCATCTTTCTCAGCTTTTCATCAATCTCTCTCAGCCGATTATGCAGATCCCGTTGCTCTTTGGTGTTCCTAAGTACCTTTTCTCCTGGAGTTATTTCCATATTTCTTTCACCATCAAGGTCAGGTTCCTAATTAAAGACACACACACACACATCATTCCCAGGCTGGATATGTGCTGTCACATACTACCTCAAAGCAACTGAGCCTTGAGATCAGCTTTGCCTCTCAAACAATATTTCTTCCCTTCAAATCAATATTTATAATGTTCTGAAGTCTTTCCATTTTAGGAGGTAAAGGTCCAACTGTACATAAAACAAGTAGGAAAACAAACCCAACTTCTGCAATCATCTGGGAAGCAGGAGACTTCCTGCTTCTCACTTCCTGGAAGTGAAAAGAGCTGGGACCAGGAAACAGGAACCTGGGTTCTGGTCCCTGCTCTGATACCTACCAGTTTGAGACCTTAGACTCTAAATTTCAAGTTCACCATGTATAAATAATAAGAAAAAAAGACCCTGCCCATCCATATTATTAGAGGCAGCTGTGTAATAATGGGAAGAAAACTGGACTTGGCAAGGTCAGGAGTTTTGAATCTTCATCCTGCCTGGTTCCTGACCAGACTGACCTTAGAAAAATGAATTAACCTCTCTGAGCTTCAGTTTCATAATCTGTAAAATGATAATAATAATGATAAATCTAGGCTAAAAATCATCACAGTATGTAGTAGGCATGCAACAAATCTTAATGCCAAACAAACGTGAGCTGAATATGTACTTTGAAAAGAATAAGTATTATATAACGAAAGTACTTCATTATTACCTGCAATATTTATATTGACAGAAACATATTTTCCCAAAGTTAATGTTATTTCTGGGTGATAAAAATGGGCATTTCTTGATAGGAATTTCACCCTGTATCTAAGATTAAACTTCCTTTCTTGCACACATCTTCTCTGTGTTGCCACATAAGTAACGGGCAGGAATGGCATTTTTGAAATCACTCAAGCCATAATGCTGCTACTCCCTCATTCCTTACAGAGAGATGGTCACCAGGAATCTCACTACCTCGTTGCCGATCCCTAATAACTCTCTAATCACAGCACTTGTTTCTTTCTCACTGTCTTAGTTCAGATATCCTCATCATTCACCAGTAGTTTTTAAACTCCAGTGAGCTTCAGAATTACCTCCAGAGCCCATGAAAAAACGCAAAGAACCAGCCTCCACCCAGGAGATTCTGATTCAAAAAGTAAAGACAGGACAGGCACGGTGGCTCACACCTGTAACACCAACACTCCAGGAGGCCAAGTCAGGAGGATCCCTTGAGCCTGGGCAACAGAGTGAGACCCAATATCTACAAAATAAAAAAAATTAGCCAGGCACAGTAACAGTGGCCTAGAGTCCCAGGCACTTGGGAGGCTGAGGGGGGAGGATCACTTGAACCTGGGAGGTTGAGGCTGCAGTGAGCTGTGATCACACCACTGCACTCCAGACTGGGCAACAGAATGAGACTCTGTCTCAAAAAAAAAGGGCTAAGGACTAATAAACTTATGCACACCTATGTGGCCCCAATCATGTCAGTGTCACCACCAGAGACATCACTCACCACCTGTGGAAGTCCGACCTGCAGAACCTGACTTAACGACGGATGAATGAATGCATTCTCACACCATTACAGTGATTCAAATGGACTAGGGATGGCCATCAGCTACTTTCAGAGGACGAAATGCCAACCTGCCTCAATAAAACCTTTTGGCCTTCCAAAAAGTTTGAGACTATAATCTATAACTTTCCCTAAGTATTTTCTGTAATATTTTGCCACCACCCCAAGTGAATATCAACACACCTATTTGAAATTCAAGAACTACTAGCTTATGTTGCTGCTGGAGCTTCCTGGCTGGTCTTGATGCTACGAGTCACCCTGTTCACTCCACTGCAGGGAAGTCACAGAACAAGTTGCAAAGTCTTCATGCTCTAGGCCCTGTCAGTCTCTTCAGTCTCATTTCCCACTGCTTGAGACTCAGACTCAAATGTGCGGCAATATTCACTACTACTAGTTCCTCCCATTCCAACCCTCCAACTCCTTGTGGAGACTCCTACCCATTTTGAGCCCAATTCAAGCATATTTCCACTACAAAATATTCCCTGACATACCCACAAAGAACAAATTATTCTCTCAGCCACACCACATGTTCCTTTATTACACTTACCACACTGTTGCTGCCCAGACAGTGACATGGCTGGCCCTATTCTCCGTGTCCCAATGCAAACTATAATCCCAAAGCTGTATAAGCACTGGCCAATGGACTATAATTTTGATTTTCAAAACTTTGATCAAACTAGTAATGAATTTCAGTAAGATGCATATTGTATACGATTCTACCAAGCAAATTACTAAAAGAGTGCATCAATTTCAAGAAGTGATTATTTTATATCTGACTTCATTTCTCACTTCTGGTAGCTTTCAATCTCTAGAAGCATCCTAATATGGTTTGGATCTGTGTCCCTACCAAATCTCATGTAAATTGTAATCCCCAGTGTTGGAGGTGGCCTGGTGGGAGGTGACTGGGTCATGGAGGTGGAGTTCTCATGAATGTGTTAGCACCATACCCTCAGTGGTATTTTCATGACAGTGAGTGAGTTCTCACAAGGTCTGGTTGTTTAGAAGGTGTGTAGCACCTCCCTCTTCTCTCTCTCTTCCTCTTGCTCTGCCCATGTAAGATGTGCCTGCTTCCCCTTCACCTTCTACCATGATTGTAAGTTTCCTGAGGCCTCCCCAAAAGCAGAAACTGCTATGCCTCTTGTACAGCCTGCAGAACGGTGAGCCAATTAAACCTCCTTTCTTTATAAATTCCCAGTCTCAGGTATTTCTTTATAGCAGTGAGAGAACAGACTAATACACACTTAGAGACTGAATTATTATAGGAAACATTTTTTAAAGAAAATCTAATGTTAGGAAACAGTTTGGAAAAAATGGTATCAAGTTCTCTTTGCAATGCTACGCAGTCAGCATTTTACAAACTTTTTTTTTTTTTTTTTTTGAGACAGAGTCTTGTTCTGTCACCAGGCCCCAGGCTGGAGTGCAGTGACATGATCTCGGCTCACTGCAACCTCCAACTCCCGGTTCAAGCAATTCTCCTGACTCAACCTCCCGAGTAGCTGGAACTACAGGCACACGCCACCATGCCCAGCTAATTTTTATATTTTAGTAGAGACAGAGTTTTGCCAGCTGACCAGGATGGTCTCAATCTCTTGACTTCATGATCCCCCCCGCCTAGGCCTCCCAAAGTGCTGGGATTACAAGCGTGAGCCACCGCACCCGGCCCATTTTACAAACTTTTATGAAGATATACCTGCTATGAAGTAGGACACACGGTAATCTGAAAAACCCCCACACTGGATTTCAGTTTTAAATGGAATTATTTTAATAATCTACAACTATGATTTTTTTTTAAATCTTGGGGCAAGCAAAGAGAAGACACAGAGAAAAAAAATTATAAGTTGCATTTAGCAGTATTTTTAAATGTTGTTTTATCCAAAGCCACCATTGAGAAAATGGACAAACCACTGACCAAGAGAAAACGTTCATAACATACAAATCCAACAGAGGACTTGTATCCAGGATATATCAGGAACTTCAGCAACTCGATAATAAAAATAATAAAATAGACAATAATAATTAATCAAATGACAATCAAATTCTATAAAGACTTGCACAGATATTTCATAAAAGAAGCTCTGTGCATGACGCACAGAACATGAAAACCTCCTCAACATCATTAGTCATGGGGAAATGCAATTAAACCACAACGAGATAATACTACACAGCCATTACCATGGCCCAGCTGAAAAACTCTGTGAACACCAAATGCTGGAAATGTGGGAAAAAAGGAGGACTCTCTTACACTGTCTGCAATGCACAGCCACTTTGAAAAACTGGCCATTTCTTTAAAAGTTAAATTTTTGTCGATCATTTAACTTTTTGTCAATTCTGTGGCCCAAAAATTCAACTCCTAAGAATTTATCATGGAGAAATTAAAATATATGACTAAAGCCTTGTACACAAATGTTCGTGGCAGCTCAAAACTGAAAACAGCCCAGGTGTCCCTCAAAAGAAGTATGATAAACTATGGTGAGCAGCCGCCACAAGCTGGGACAATCAAGGTGTTTCTCCTCGAGCTGGGTCTTCGGGTTAGGATAGTCAAAGTGAGGAGAGGAGTTCTAGGAGAGTAGAGGACAGAAGAAGAGAGAGCTTGGGGTATTTTTCTCCTTCTCCTCATGCTTTGGCATCTCAGTCTGGGCAGTGATATATCCTGAGATGTGGAGAGTTTTCTTAGATTCAGCTGCATATTCATGCTCACCCTTGGAGCCACTCTACTCAGAAGACAGGAAACACAGCAGGACAGTATCAAGTATCCCTTTTCAATGGAAGTGTTTGCTACAGTCCATGCTGAAAAAATATAGGTATAAAGAGCAAAACAGGTATAAGCTGCCTGTCTTAAAATCCTCACATCCCACAGGAGCCATTATCTCTTGAAATGCCTCCATAGGCACACTGAGTCCAAGGACCCAGCAAGAACCACGCCCGGCCACAAGAATCACTGCACTCAGAGATGCCCAAACTATGGCTTCTCCATCAGGTCTTTGTAAGTCTCCCAGTCCAGGGATCATTTTTAGCATAAGCAAAGTCCTAACATATTGAGCATGCCAACTCTTCTCAGGTTGCCAAGGAAACAGAGTTTGGAAACTATGGCTCAAATGCTCATGCCGAGGGGGCTGGGGTTGGATAACCTTTTGCCCATGTCCTCTATTATTACAACTTCAAATGTCCAGTTCTTCTCCCCCAACTCGGCTCTTATTGAGCTCTCACACACTTTTTCTTCCCCTTGTCCACTGTGGGTAGTCTTTGGGTGTCCCAACATCCTTTGTTACCTCCTTTAAATCTACATAAATAGTCCCTTCGTATAATTATCTTCAAAATCCAAGCTAGGTATTCCTTGTGTTTCTTGTCAAAAACTCTAACTGATGGGGACGGGTGAGGAGAGAGGGGAGGGGAGGGGAGGGGAGGGAAGGGGAAGGGAGAGGGAAGGGGAGGGAAGGGGGAAGGGGAAGGGAGGTGTGGGAAGAGAAGAGAA